AAATGGCCAATGTGTCTTTTTCAATTTTACTCTCTCTTTTTTTCCTCCCACAGCTGCAAATGTTTCAATGCTGCAACTAGCATCTCCGTCCCAGAGGCTAAGCTCAGGTAAGAAGGTGAAAAAAATGCACTCACGATGAAATGTTCTCTGAGCTCATGCAGTCCTCCCGCACTGAAAGAGCTCAGCAGAATGCGTGGAGGCAAACAATGGCAGAGTTCAGGAAAGCAGAAAATGAACGCGAGGACAAGAGGGATGCCCGAGAGGATAGATGGCTCGAGCAACAGGAGAGATGGTGGCAGCGTGATGAGAGGAGGCAGGATGCAAGGCTGTAGCTACTGGAGGATCAAACTGATATGCTCCGGCATATGGTTCAGGTGCAGGGAAGGCATGGACCGCAACTGCAGGCCCTGTGTAATCAACCACCCTCCTCCCCAAGTTCCTTAGCCTCCTCACCCAGACGCCCAAGAATGCTGAGGGAAGGGGGAGGGGCCTCCGGGCACCCAACCACTCCACCCCAGAGGCCTGCCCAAGCAACAGAAGGCTGGCATTCAATAAGTTTTAAAGTGCTGTGTGGCCTTGTCCTTCCCTCCTCCCCCACCCCTCCCGGGCTACCTTGGCAGTTATCCCCCTATTTGTGTGACAAATTAATAAAGAATGCAAGAATTTGAAACAACAATGACTTTATTGCCTCTGATTTATTGCTGGTGATCGAAGCGGGGAGGGGAGGGTGGTTGGTTTACAGGGAAGTAGAGTGAACCAAGGGGGCAGGTTTTCATCAAGGAGAAACAAACAGAACTGTCACACCATAGCCTGGTCAGCCATAAAACTGGTTTTCAAAGCTTCTTTGATGTGCAGCGCACCCTGCTGTGCTCTTCTAATCACCCTGGTGTCTGGCTGTGCATAACCAGGGGCCAGGAAATTTGCCTCAACTTCCCACCCTGCCATAAACATCTCCCCCTTACTCTCACAGATATTGTGGAGCACACAGCAAGCAGTAATAACAATGGGAATATTGGTTTCGCTGAGGTCGAACCAAGTCAGTAAACTGCACCAGCGCACTTTTAAATGTCCAAATACACATTCTACCACCATTCTGCACTTGCTCAGCCTACAGTTGAACTGCTCCTGACTACTGTCCAGGGTGCCTGTGAATGGCTTCATGAGGCATGGCATTAAGGGGTAGGCTGAGTCCCCAAGGATAACTATAGGAATTTCAACATCCCCAACAGTTATTTTCTTGTCTGGAAAGTAAGTCCCTTGCTGCAGCCATTCCCACAGACCAGAGTTCCTAAAGATGCAAGCATACCTTTCCCGGCCATCCCATATTGATGTTGGTGAAACGTCCCTTGTGATCCACCAGTGCTTGCAGCACCATTGAAAAGTACTCCTTGCGGTTTATGTGCTGGCTGCCTTGGTGCTCCGGTCCCAAGAGAGGGATATGCATTCCATCTGTCGTCCCACCAAGGTCAGAGAATCCCATTGCAGCAAAGCCATCCACTCTAACCTGCACATTTCCCAGAGTCACTACCCTTGATAGCAGCAGCTCAGTGATTGCGTTGGCTACTTGGATCAGAGCAGCCCCAACAGTAGATTTGCCCACTCCAAATTGATTCCCGGTAGCTGACCGGTAGCTGTCTGGCATTGCAAGCTTCCAGAGGGCTATCACCACTTGTGAACAGTGAGGGCTGCTCTCATCTTGGTATTCTTGCACTTCAGGGTGGGGAAAGCAAGTCACAAAGTTCCATGAAAGTGCCCTTACGCATGCGAAAGTTTTGGAGCCACTGGGAATCATCCCAGACCCGCAGCACTGTGCAGTCCCACCAGTCTGTGCTTGTTTCCCGGGCCCAGAATCGGCATTCCATGGCATGAGCCTGCCCCATTGCCACCAGAATGGCCAAATTGCCAGGGCCCGTGCTTTGAGAGAAGTCTGTGTCCATGTCCTCATCACTCTCATCACCGCGCCGCTTGCCGTGATATGGCGTCTGCAGGAGAGCAGAGTTGCAGGGGAAACGGTGGTTGGATGACCAGTTTTGCAGACCTACTCCACCGTCTGCTGCCAGGACAAAACAGCTAAGTGGGTTGCATGCTTGCCATGGTATGGGCGAGACAAGAGCAGCCGAGCAGAGTTGCAGTGGAAGCAGCGGACGACGGTCATATAGACTAGGACCTGCGAGGTGGATTCATAGCACCAGGAGAGCAGAGTGGCAGCGGAAGTGGTTGTTCGTTGACAACGGTTTGCAGACCTACTGCACCGTCTGCTGAAAGCAGTATGGCGCCCGCATGGAAAAAGGAGTGAAATGATTGTCTGCCGTTGCTTTCATGGAGGGAGGGGCAACTGACGACATGTATCCAAAACCACCCGTGACAATGTTTTTGCCCCATCAGGCATTGGAAGCTCAACGCAGAATTCCAATGGGCGGCAGTGATTGTGGGAACTGTGGGATAGCTACCCACAGTGCAATGCTCCAAAAGTTGATGCTAGCCTTGATACTGTGGACGCACTCCGCTGACTTAATGTGCTTAGTGGGGACACGCACAATCGACTGTATAAAGTTGCTTTCTAAAAAATTGACTTCTATAAATTTGACCTAATTTCATAGTGTAGACACAGAGCTATGACGGGGGCAAGGTGGATTGACCAGTAGTCAGTACTACACTTAGGTCAGTAGAGATGACCCTGTCACGTGCTGTCACAGAGGAATTTATTTAGACAAATGCCCCAGTCCTACAAAGAAGCAAGTGTTTAATTGTATACATTATGCATTGTACCATTGATCTCGTTGGATTACGCTATTACTCCCACTACATAAAGTTAAGAATGTGCATTATTTTTGTAGTATTAGGACCTATATCATTATTCAAAATTACCAATTAGATATCCAAAGATACAACCCATTTATTTCCCGCTGTTTGTAATACATTGTATTATTTTGTCTCAAGTGAATGACCAACAGTTCTTCATGATCATTTATTAGAAAATTTAGATGCAATCCCATTCAGACTGCTGTATCTGCAGATATTTGAATTTTGCAAACAGCAACATTTATGGAGAAAAATAAGAAGACATCTTTTAACTCCACAGAAATCAGTAGACATGGGGAAGTTCTCGAAGGCCAGAGTGGGAAAATGATAGAAGTTTCATAAAAATCCCAAGCACATAAACAAAAGTCCCTTTCTGAACAGAACCAAAGGGGTCCCGTCTCTGTCTTCATTCTGTGAATAGTTTCAGTAAACTGGCCATGCCATCCAGCAAACACTTACACACTTGTTTAATTAGGCACCTGAGCAATCCCACTGCAACAGAGGAACTATTCCGGTACCTGAAGTTAAGCAGGTACATAAGTGTTTGCAGGATGGGGGCCTCGGTGTATGAGTAGTGTCCTTTCCCTGTAAATGACATTGGTTTCGGCCAAGCCACAACCTTTGTGTCATTATTCCTTCCTGTCCTTCTTTCCAAAGCAATAGCTCCTGGGATAGAAGAACTACAGGTGCAAGTGCAAAGCATGGGCCTGACGCTGTACTACTGAAGTCAGGGGAGAGTTTCACCACGGACTTCAGTGGGAGCCTGATGTTGCTCAGGGAGTGGAGAGAAAATTTAAAACCACCCGGCTTTACTGTCCCTTTGCTGGAGAGACGAGAGTAGCATTGTCACCTGAGGCAGCCCCGCCTAGTGCTGCGCCTGCGTGTTACCTCCTTCTTCCTGCTGCCTGGCCCCGGCTGCAGTGAGATGGGCGGAGGTGGTGGCATTCTCCCGGATTCCCGGGGAAGAGCCCAGCGGCAGACCAAGGCAGTGGGGTGTGGGAGAGAAGAGGCAGAGCGCATTCACCGGGCCCCTGCGGAGGGGGAGAGGGGCCGCGGGGGGATCCGTGCGGCTGGAGGCAGAAAAGGTAAGTGGCCCTGAGAGCGGGAGCAAGGCTGTGACATGTGAATAGCGCGACTGAAGCCTGCGTGTGAGTGGATCATGTATGTTGTTATAGACATGGGTGTTATTCACAATGCAATTCCCCACCACTGGGGCACTGACACGAGGGGCCAAGGGAAGGCTGCGTTATGAAGAGTTGTCGCGCGAGCCGCCTTCTCTTCCGTGCTTTTGCTGAGCGAGGTTGGGACCCTGTCGCCGGTTTGTTCGAATTCATTGCTTTCGCGGTGGCTTTGCCCAGCCTTCCGGCCGGTCTGTCCAGATCATCTGGACCTGAGCTGCTGGGGCTCCCCTGGGAGTGCTCGCGCCTGGCTGGGTGATGAAGTGTCGGGCTTGGGCTCGGGAGCAGTGAGACCTCGCTTCTCGTGCCGCAGGATTAACAAGAGGTAATAACACAGCCATAAAAATCCCCCTTCCTTCTACTGCAAATTAAAATCGATTTTTCTCCCTGGAAAGAAGAGGAACAATCTTCAACACCAAGACAATCTCATTGTAATGTAGATGCCGGTTCTGTCTTTTCCAAGGGCCTCACCATATAAAAAAATTAAATATTTGCACCACTGTGCAGGGGCTTTGGAACAATTTGTACAGTGGGGGTCTTGAGAGCCGTTGGACTAGATGACCTTCTGAGGTCCCTTCCAACCCTGATATTCTATTGACCCAAACTGTAAACCTTGTATATGATGGAAATCACTTCAAGGCAGGGGTGCTCCAGCACCCCTAGTTCTAGCACCTGTGTCACTGTGACTTTACAGGAGTCTGAAATGCTGTTTTTCTGTGCGCAGCCTGGTTCCTTGCACCGGATCGTATATTTACTGCTTGCTTAACTCCCTACTCAGTATCTTCAACTTCAGAGGGGGAAGGACATTAAAAGTAAAGGCAGGTCCATGCTGCACCCTTGCCTTGTGGGGAGCGATCCTGGTCGCCTGTGTTTCATCTGCAATTGTGCGCCACTGTGAGTCCCCTGAAGTTGAAGAAATGGGAGGAGGGTACAGCCCTCCCCCCTCAGCTGCAGAACGAGACACGGATTGATGGGCCCCTGATTGCGTCGTGGTGTGTTCGAGCTTTCACGCGGGTGTGTTTCTCTTCACGCCCTCCCTCAGTGATTGATGCTGGAAATGCTGTCGTTTGCTGAGCCGCAGCCATGGTTGCGAGTCTTTCTGCTCCCGGGTGAAATAGGGGAGGCTGGGACGGACTGAGTTCGCAGCCTAGGAGCCAGGGCAGCGCGCGAGGCTAGAGGGGAGAGACGCGGCGGCTGTAGCCTGCCGGGGGAGGAATCCCTCCTGCTGCTGCGGGGGCTCTGGGGACTGAGATCAGTTTAGGGCATGGAGAGGCAGCCCCGCCCTGGCTGCGCAGGGTGCCCCGAGGAGCCAGGGACCCCACCCTGCGGCGCCCCCGGTCCCCTCTGGGCGGAATGGCGAAACGACAGGGAGGGCTTGCCATAGATCCGGCGGGGCTTCCCGCCCTCCCGCCAGGTGCGGCGGCGCTGCCCAGCCGCGGGCCGTGCGGGAAGTGGGGGCAGGCGGCCGTGCTGCACCCGGCCCGGGGCCCTCGCTCCTTGCGCACGCGGTGGGAGAGCGCAGAGCTGCGAGAGGCGACAGCAAGGGCGGGGTCCCTGGATAGGGGGCGGCTGGGGCAAGAGGAGAGGTGCCCTGAGCCGGGCAGGAGCGGAGGAAGGGGGGGTTGCGAGGAGAGGGCGCTTGCTGGGTGTGGGGAAGGGCGCAGCTGCTGGCCGCCGGGTTTTCTTCCAGCTGCCGCACTTGTTGTGGAGGGGAGCTCAGGCAGCATCCCCCTGGGCTGAGGGAGGGGACGCGCCGCAGCCCGCCCCACCTCACCTCACCCTCGCCCCGGGACTGAACACACTCAGCAAACTTGGGCTCTCAGTAGGGTTTCTTTAATTGCCTCTCTCAGGATCCGCCCAGAGAAGCCAGCGGAAGCTGGGAGAATGAGGTAAGGAAGGGGGGTTAACCCTTTCCTCTCTGGGCTGCAGCTGACCGAGGAGGAGGAGGAGGAATCACCCGACGGGATACACTTGCTGTAATTAACTGAATCAAGTCACTGCTATTTCCCGTATAAGTGTGTGCGCAGGACAGAATCTAGCCGGGCAAGCAGCCTACCTCCAAAACCAAACCTCAGCTTTAAACCGCTCTGATAAAGTGTCCCGAGGTCTCCAGGACCATGTAGTTCGACCTTCAGTTAAAGACCGACCTGTAAGTAACCAATTTTTTACTGCCCCTTGGGTGGTCCTCTAAGGCAGCTCTGTGTGTACACATACACATGCCTTTTTATCTGCATAGAGGACAAACCTTTTTGGCTTATTTTTCTCAATCAGAAATCAAATATTAACACTCCCTCTTTTACCACCTTCTAAAAGTATCTTTGGAATCAAAAAGGCTAGCTTTTAAAACTATGATGTCTTCATTTTGTCTGGTGGCCATTGTCTTTATTGTCTGTTTTACTCATGCACTGAACTAAAAGGGGCCTTGTCTTTTTCAGTCATACTTTTAAGGGATATGTTTCAGATGAGCATTTTCTCAGGGTGTGTTCAATGGTCATCTTCTAAGCTGTTGTGATTAATATGAGCCTTTCTTCTTGTGGCAGGTTGGATTTCTAGTTATACATGCCAGTGTTTTCTGTTGCTGTAACTGTGGTTAGCAACTAGTTGCTCCATTTACTTCATTGTAAAGCTATTGTTGAGATCCAGACATCTAAGTATTGTGGTGAGGATTGTGGTGTGTGAGCACTCAAAGGCAGTGCTGTTTTAGTGTGAGTTTGGGAGATATTTTACAGAGAAATATATTTGGTAGAGAACAGGAGGTATGGACTAAAGGGAACAAATATGAATTTCTAAAAGTCACTGTACACTGAAACATTTCACTTGTTAATTTGTGTATGCAAATATAGTATTTTGCGTCTCTTTCAAATGGCAGTTACTTTGGTTGGGAAACAACATTTTTTAGAATGCTTGTCTTCTGAGCTGGGGAAAAGCTCCTTATTGCTCTCCGTCTTTGAAGAATGGTTATGGGTGAAATTCTGTACGATAAAATCATGAGTGAGACAAAAATAAAATGCTCCATTTAATTAAAATATTTGGTGTTCCTTTCCTTTGAAAAGTGTGATCTGCAGATCTGATAATATTCAATATGTGTACAGCAGTGTCAATATGAACATTCTTAAATGTACTAAAGGCATCACTTTAAAACCGTTTTGCTGCTCAGACTGATTTGGATGTAACAAATGTGCAAAGATGCAGATTATAATGTTGGAAGTCTTTGAGTGTTGATCTCCCATCTTCTCCCCTTCTACCCTTCCTTCTAAAATTTCAGCTCCAGTTGAATTTTATCAGATTAAGTGTTTAGGGCACTAACCTACTCCCAGTGTATTTTGGAGTGGGACTTGCTCCCTAGTTATGAGTGGGAATTGCTCTCGTCCCTCCCTCTACTTCTTGCAAGGGCTAGGGGACACCTGCTGCCACCAATAAGCTGTGCAGACAGTGTCGCAGTCTGCTTGAAGTGAGCTGTAGCTCACGAAAGCTCATGCTCAAATAAATTGGTTAGTCTCTAAGGTGCCACAAGTACTCCTTTTCTTTTTGCGAATACAGACTAACTCGGCTGTTACTCTGAAAGCAGTCTGCTTGTTTATCTCTTCCCCCACCCACATTAGTGGCTAGTATTATGGTGCATCCACAAACTGATTCTTTGAGAGAGGAATTTTGACATTCCTCTGTATCTCAGCCTAGTAACTAGGGTACTTTATGCTTCTGTTAAGAGCAGGTGACCTCCTCTACTTGACTGTGCTTATCTGTGGAAAAACAATAGCTGAATGCTTGTGTGTGTTTTGTAGTTTTCCTTTCACACATTCATTCCAGACTTCTTTTTCCCCCTCCATCCCGGTTATGGGAAAAAATTAAGTTTATCACTGTTGCCATCATCCAAAGCTGCATGAGGTACTGGTGGGTTTAAAATGGTCTCTATTATTAGGTTTACCATTACTCGCTGGGCTTTTCCCCCGTTCTACTTATGGGCTTAATCTTACAGAAGTGGAGAGGAGACTCTTTTGTTCCCTGTTAATTCCCCCAAGGAAAGGCAATAGAATGTATGATTCACTTCCTTTTTGGACCATCCATCTCCTATCCTCATCTGTAAAGCGTGTAACAGCTGTTGCAACACTCCTGCAGGTCAGGGGAATAAGAGGCTTCATTTGGGATTATGTATAGCTATTCAACTGATTAGAATAGGGTACAAACCTCAACATTTGGATACAAAACTCAAACCAAAGTTGTGGGGTGGGGGTGTTTCTCTGGGGCCTCTAGCATAGGTCCCATTTCTAGAAATGACCAAAACATTTGCGGAGGTGTAGTGCTTTTGATAGAATTCTACTTTGGGATAGAAAGCTGTGTATTCAAGGGCTTTGCCCAGTGATGAAACTTAGTGCTAATTAGTAATGCAATCTGTTTGACTTTAATATTTCATCTACAGGAAACAATACCTTTTTTTCTGACTTCTAGTAGTGCTCTAAAAGGAAGTTAAAAGCCCATGGCACTCTTCAGATGGGTCAGTCTTCGCTCTGTTTTTTGCCAACATTTCCTGTCTCAATAGAACAGGTTCTAATGTACAAGACTGTTTTGAGCTGTTAATGAATACATAATAGGTATTAGTTTTCCACAGCATTATGAGTATCCAAAAATTAAAGTTAGCTTGAATATACGTAATATATAAAAATCAAATATCTCAAGTTTTAAGAAATCTAAAGGCTTTACTCAACAGCTAGAAGTTGTATGCTGAACTCTTTTCCCCCCACAATACTTTAATCCAGTGGTTCTCAACCAGGGGTACACAGAGGTCTTCCAGGGGATATATCAACTCACCTAGATCAGTGTTTCTGAACCCGGGGGTTGCGACTCCAAGATGGGTCATGAGACAGGTTTAGGGGCATCACAAGTGCAGGGCCGGTTTAGGGGGTGGCAAGCAGAGCAATTGCCCAGGGCCCCATGCCATTGGGGGGCCCGCCGTGAAGCTAAGTTACATGCTTCAATCCCAGGTGCCGGGGCTTGGGCCTCAGACTCCGGAAAGGGGTACAGTAGTCTGGAAAGATTGAGAACCCCTGCTTTAATGTATCTGAAGTTCTACTCTCGTGTGGTTAATGTTGGGACATTGATGAAGCAGCACTGTTTGATTAGGATTATTTACCAGTTCTTCCTAATGCATCTGAATTTATTAGAAATTTCCACTTCTTGTGTAACACTCTGAGAGTTGAGACAAACCCTGATGCGTTCAGTCTATCAGTCTCTATATAGAAGATAGCTGACTTAAATTTGAAGCACCTCTTTCTCAGATCCTTTTTCTCTCTTTTCCTTCCTCCATCAAAGTATCCTCCTCAACGCTTCAGAGCCTGTATTTTCTGGGTTCCCCACGCTCATGAATACTTTCACTACTTCAAGAGAGTGAAATGAATATGACTAGTAAATTTGAAGTAAATATCTGGTTGGCTGCTGCCCACAAGATTCCAAAAAGCACTGGTGAAGTTGACTGGTGTCTTGTGACTTTTTCCACTGAAGTCAGTGGAGCTATGTCAAGTTACATCAGCAGAAGATCTGCCACATGGCTTGTCTCTGTAACTTTTTATCTCTGTGAATGTATGCTATAATGGTTCATATCTGGCAGCGGTGAAGGTCTCTTTTTCCTCCCCCACCTTGCCAGTATTTTTTGTTCCAAAATATTAAGTAATCTGAATTGCTGTTAATTATGTATACGTTCTGTCAAATGTGAGGAACAATGCCAAGTAGATAAGGCTAATTAATAAACAAACTTTTGTTTAGTAGTAGTCTTGCCCAAGTGCATTGCTGTAACTTTTTTATTAGATTTCCTATTACCATTCTTTGCCTGGTACTCCTTCTTCAGTCTCCATCTAACTTTGCCTGTGCAATAGATACTACCACTCAATTTGGTAGTATCTATCTCTGATTACAATGCTGTTTAACCACATCCTCCAGTAAACATGTAAAGGGATTAAACAATAGCATTCTTAGTTGGGCCTTGTTTTTGAAACTTTTTAGTCTGATGCGTTCTCAGGGAAAATCTCTAAAAAGTGTAAATTCGTTCATTAATACGAGTGACCTGACAAACTTTTAAATTGTGCCTTTGAAAAAAAAAACCTAACTAGCTTTAAAATTGCTGCCACCAACATCACCATTTGCTCCGCCACAGTGGCAACATAAAAAAAAAAATAATGCAGTTGTCACAATAACTTTGAGCTACCAGATTCTCATCTAGACATACAAGTTTTCTTAAGTAAATATTTTCAGCTTTGCATGTGCTTAGAGCTTAGGCTATGTAATTTTATTATTCCAATTTTATATCCCCCCCCCCTTTTTTTTTTTGATCTGTAGTGAGACGTGCTTATTGAGGTAGCTACAGTAATCTAGATACCTGAGTGAATTATAAAGACACATCCTAATAAAACTGCAGTCTCTCTTCTAGTGTGTAAATTTTGGTAAATGTATTGTAACTTGACCATTAATGACAATGACAAAATGTAGATGCTAGGTTTTTTTAAGATGCATGTCTGTGGTCAGTAACCATAAATATTGCACAGTTTTATTAAGAATCTAGGGTTTTGGGACTCTGTACACTTTATTAATGAAAACTGCATGAAAAATATTAGGGCAAAAAAGCCATATGCTACATAGTTGAACAATCTGGGATAATTCATTGTCTTGATTCACTGTTGAAGGGGAAGCCATTTAAAAAGCTTCAGGCAGAGCTTTTGTCAATATATAAGTACATTCTAACTCTGCATATTGAAATCTGTATAATGATATTTTTAATCTAAAATGAATAGTTGGAATGTGTTCCGTTTGTTGAAATGGCTTGGGATAAATATTGTTTCTTTAGAAATTATATTGAATCCAGAATAGGTGTTTCAGTAACCTCTGGTCTCTCCAGAGGCACTCAATGCTTTAAATTTAAAGTTTTTAATTTTATTTAAATGTAATGCCCCATAATTAGCTGACATTTTATTGTGGATGTACATAAATTTTACAAAATTAGGCCCTAGAGAACTTTGTTTTTCAGAAAATCTCCCATCTAGATTAAAACTTAAAATGACTAATGATTGTTTTATATTGAATTTTGTGTATTTCCCACTAATACATTGCTACCTGTACCAGGGAAAAAATCCAGTCTCTTTGATCTGAATTTCACCATTGTGTTTTTTGTTGTAGGTTGCGAAGATGGTTCAGGGCTGCTGCATTGTTTTCACTTCAGGCAGATTAGAGTTTGAAAGTGTCTGACACAAATTGCTACTCCATTGCTCAATGTTTCAAGGAGACCCAGGGAAGTACGTCTCTCCTCATAGGAGAGACTAAAATGCATGTTATGAATTGTCTCTCCTTGGTCAATGATAAAGAAAATGGGGCTATATCAGTTGCAACTGGATTAATGATTGAAGATCCGACAACAGAACAAGTGCCACCACCTCCTCCAGCACCCCCGTTGCTGCCACCATGTTCAGTCACAGGTGCTGGTTTTTCACCTCCGCCACCTGGGGTGCCGCCGCCGCCGCCGCCGCCACCTCTTCCTCCAGGACCAACCCCACCAGCTCCGCCACAGTTTATAAATGGGCATGGCCCCCACAGCAAAAAAAAACGGATGCGGAGTTTCTTCTGGAAAACAATTCCTGAAGAGCAAGTCCGCGGTAAAACAAATATCTGGACTATTGCTGCAAGACGGCAGCAGTTCCAGATTGACACAAAAACAATTGAGGAGCTTTTTGGGCAGCAAGAGGAAACCAACCTTCAGGGTCCTAGGAGGCGAACTTCAAAATCATCATTTAAAGATACTAAAGAAGAGGTAAGAATTCAGAAGTAGCCCAACATTGCTGTGTCTCTCTCTCTCTCTCTCTCTCTCTCTGTTATTCACCATAATGTCTTAGAAATTGATGTGAAATCTGACCAGCTGCCATTCACCATATCTTTTCTTATCACTTTACCCAAAAAACTTGCAGAGCATAAACTGTTAGATTTATGCTTTTATTTAAAGATACTAGTTCGTGAAAGGCTGGTTCTGTTATTATGTTATCTCAATAAAGTCCCTTAATTTGATCACTGGCAAAAAATATTATATTTGAGGAAGAAAGAATGTGTCTCCAGTGATTACTGTAGATTCTGTCTGGCTAGCCCTTGATAAATCTTCATTTCTGGGCATGGATTACATGAAGAGTACAAATACAGTAATTTACACGCATTATTTTATATGCACAACTGCACCATGTCCTTGTCTTCCTTTTCAGTTGCTACTTTTGAAAGCACACACTTCAAGGAGTTGTTAAAGGGATCTAGTAGGCAGCGTTCCATTAGTAGTAGTTCTGAAGGGCAAAAGTAAATGATGTATCTCGAAGGAGGATAAAAGAATCATCCTAACACAAATGCAAAAAGACAAAACTTTGTTTTTAATGTGACTGTTTGGAGACAATGTAGGGGAGAACGCGTAAGTATATGAGTGAAACAACAAATGTTTTTCTTAGGGCTGGTCTATGCTACCACTTAAGTCGATGTAACTTGCGTCGCTCAGGGGTGTGAAAATGACACCCCTTTGAGCGACACAAATCACTTAGCATGATGAGGACACCATTTTATGTCAGCGGGATGTGCTTTCCCACCGAAATAGTTTCCGCCTCTCACGGAGATGGAACAATTATGCTGACAGGAGAGCACTCTCCTGTTGGCATAGCATATCTTCACCAGATGTGCTACAGTGGTGCAGCTGTACTGATATAGCACAGTAGTGTAGACTTGCTCACTGCATCTGTTACTAATTTTAGATCTAATTTAAGTTGTTCCCCATTTATCAAGTTCACCTTCTTAATACTGGGCAATAGAAATAGAGTAGTTTCATTTTCTGGTGCTACAGAAAATCTGGTTTGGGGGTCATGTGAGGTAGGGGAGAGCATTTCCTTCAACTCTGTAAAGGAATCTTTAGAGTCAAACATTTTCCAGTAAACCACTTAGTAGCATTTCTATTTTGTTCTTCTTCTTCTTTTTTTTTTTTAAAACTCTTACAAACAACCTATGTTTTTTTGGACTAAACAGCTTGGAAGTGTTTCTATTAAATATTTGCAAAACTGGAAGTAAAAATGCAAATGTAAGTACTGGTAGGCAGAGGGAATTTACAGAGAGGAAATGTTAAATATGCATAAAGGACCAAAGAATGGAACGAATATTAATTCAAGCACCAAATAAGAGAGACTGCTGGAAATGTATCTGCTTTTGTATCAAACTTTAGTGAGGAAAATTAAAAAGGTGTTAGAACTGATTTAAAACATCATACATTTGTAACTTCAGTAGACTTGAAAAGGGGGTGTCAGGATAAAGTTTAAACAAATGTGCAGATATTAGAAAAAGGAAACTAATTTCTTATGAACACTAAAGAAATATGACAGGTTTCAGAGGAACATGAGCCATCTGAGCATAGCTTGGGAGCTGTGGCTCACAAAGCCCATGCTCAAATAATTGGTTAGTCTAAGGTAACCCCCTTTCTTTTACTAAAGAAATAGACAAACAATGGAGATCTGGTTACTTCATTGTGAACAGGTTGGGGGGCCACATGATTTTAAAAAAGCAAATAAAGCTGCTCTTTAAAGGCTTCCATGAGTAATTTTTACATCAAGCAAAGAGTGGAATAATGGATCTCTGATTATTAAGTATCCTGAATGATGGGATAATGAGTATCAGATAACATGATTTCTCAAATTTCTAACAAAACTTCATAGCTTTCATTAATATAATAACAAACATGATGCCCCTAGGAGATATTCCAATTGAGCAAAATGTTGATTCGTGAGACTTTCTTTGAAATGAGAACACTGCAGCCTTTAATGGAATCATTTTGGCTTAGATATAAGGTGGTATATAGCTGCTTATGTGGTGTTTTGAGTATTTTTTTGATCTTCTCCTATCTCCTCCGAGATGCTGAGGTCTTACAGCTCTTTTTTAACATTAATGGGAATTGCAGCTCCTATATAAAATATTGTAAGACTACAGTATTATTTAGTGCAGAAAAAATTCATGGCTTTGTCCATGATAGAAGATGAAATCTGTTTTTTAGGTGTTTATATTCCAAATAGGTGGAGAATTGTGGGTTGTTGTGTTTTTTTTATATGATGGATGAATGATAGCCTTTTTATTGGTGTGGATGCCAAGTAGGGCCGAATAAACCTTTTGTGGGCCCACACCAAACATATTTGTGGGCCCCCAAAGGGCCTGGTGCATGGTGCAGGGGGTGGGGGTGTCGGTCCCCAAAGTGAGGGGTGGATGGGAGCAATGGGGCACAGTGCGGCAGGGGCATCCCCATTCCGCCCAGCCCAGTGCAAGGGCACTGTTTACAAACTGGCTGCTGCCAGATGCACACTGGCCTGCTTGGCCCTGTGCTGCCAGAGTGCCTCTTCCGCTCAGGGGCGTGCCTATGCCGTGCCACATTGCCTCCCCACCCAGCACCCCCTGACCCCTTATGCCTGGAGACTCCCCCACAGACCTCTATGCCCAGCACCCCACCAGACCTGCTATGCCCAGAGATCCCACCACCACAACTGCAGTTGCCCTGCACGCTATCACTCCTCACCCAGTGCCCCCCTCCAGTTCCCATAACCACAACTGCACAGTGCCCCCCGAGGCTCCCCTATGCCCAGTGCCCCAAAACACTGAAACCTCTCCCACCCTCCATTGCCCAGGGCCTGCTGCCCCTCACTGTCCTGCGCCCCCTGCCAGACCTCCCAGAGACCCACTCCCCCACGCCCTGCCACCCAGCCGCACTCAGTGGCTCTGCTGGGAGGTGACCTTGTCTGCTGGGCTGAGTTGGTAGCACAGCCAGGGCCAGTCCTAGGGTGGAGATTGCTTTGGTCCCTCCGGAGCGGTGCAATCAGCCAGGCCATAGTGGGAGCAGGGCCTGCCCTGGCCAGGCTCCATCAGGACCCACTTGTCTGGCGGAGCCTGGCCGAGCTCCCTGCACTGCCTCCCTCCCCACATTGGCCAAGATTGGCCTGGCCTCTGCACTGTTCCTAGCAGCTCAGCCCTTGGGGTCCGTTTATTAATCAGGATAAAACCAAGTCCTTGGCCATTACCATCAAGCAGCTTCCAGCTCCGGTTTGTGACCAACTCCATATTAACCTGTTCAAACGGGACACTGAGCAGGTGGCAACTGTTAAATACTTGGGAAGCATCACAGACCGTGCTGGAGGATGTTTGAGAGATGTGGACGCTTATGTAGCATCAGCCAAGTTCCGGTCCTGTCAGTGGCGTTTGGAGACATTGCCACATCAAGCTTGCTTTGAAGCTGTTGCTCTATAGAACCAGTTATTCCAACTCTTTTGTACCACAGTGAAGCGTGGGTGCTGAGGAAGGCTGAAGAGCACTGGAGTGAATTTTTTAATCTTGCCATCTTCATCAGATTTTTCATGTTAAGTGGCAGAACAAGATCAGCAATGAGGATATTCATAGTCCAGCAGTTGCCTCCATCAGTACTAATTTGGTTTCAGTGGCTTTTTTGGTACGGATGTGTTAGGATGGAAGACCAGTGAATTGTGAAGCATGTTTATGAAGAAATGCCACTACTCAGCCAGTGACCACATGGTCACCAAAAGTTCTGGCAATATAAGATTGCCAATGGCTGACAGACTGAACATCCAGACGAATTATGTTAAGAACCTAGCTAGAGATCAATCTGGATTGTGCTTGATCTGCAAGGAGGTATGTTCTCTTGGGGTTTGCCTTGATACTGGTGATGAGTGTTAGTGGGCTTCACCAGCAAAATGAGATTTGAGGAGGGATTTGAGGCAAAAGGGTCAAGGAAGATGAGGGTGGAGAAGAAGACTTGAGACTTGGCTAGAAAAGGTCATAACAAATCATGTGAGATCTGCTTTGGCAGAGGGGATGGTTACAATCCACAAAAAATTCTCCAGTTGAGATGATGTATCAAATGTTGTTAGTAGTGGTCAGTGCTGGAACTGGCATTAATTTTAGTAACTTTATAAATTATGTGGAGGAATTGGCATATGTTGTGTTGACCAGACTTTGCAGATGATACCAATACAGGAGGTCTGACACAAAGAGAAGATTGAGGCAGAGTCCCGAAAAACTTGAAGTAATTAGGTTGCCTCTTGTTATTCCTCCAACATATGAAAACATGCTAAGATGCTGAAGTGCAGGGGGCTGGACTGGTTGACCTCAAGGTGTCTTCCAGCCTTACATTTCTGTGATCCTACTATTCTGTGCCCATGGGCAAGAAGAAAACCGAAGGAAAACTCTAACAGGGAAATGGATGGATGTTAGGAATGCAGAACAAGGTTTAGTGCGATGACATGTATGTAAAAATAGAAGTTATATTAGCTCCATGTACAGAGTTAAGGGCCAGTGTTTTAAAGTGAAGAGCAATTTGTGTGTGTGTGTGTGCGCGCCAAATTTGAGACTTTCACAGGATTTTTCAGAAAAGAAGCCCCCTTTAAAGAGTCTTAAGGTGAACACACAAAAAGTGAGGAACCCAAAATTACAAGTTGCTTAGGAAAATCTTGGTCAAAAGTTTTAATTGAAAAATCAAACAATGAATGTAAAAAATCATATGCAGAGCAGTGAGAGCTAATATACTAGGCCCTATAAGAAAATGTGACTACTGAGGCTCTGTTGAATTTTGATTTTGTACCTAGCTTGTGGTCATGCAATAACTTTGTACTGCGCTGACACTGAAAGAGTAGTTATATATGTTCTCTTTAAGGGAAAGAATAAAAACAATTAAATTGGTTCACCAATTTCCCTGATGCACTGAGCCAGATTTTCTGTAAATTTGTGTAATGTCATGAAGACAATGAGGCTATATTGGCTTAAACAGTGAGGATTTGGCCTCCTGCATACTTAACTGTACAGAATTGTGTACAGTTAAATACTCTAACTAAAAAGAATACGAAGAGTAGCACGTAAGATATAAGAAGGTTAAGAACTTGTATAGCTTACACAAATGGAGAGAGGGATCTTAGATCTGAACAAATTATTGAACAAGCTATAAGGACTGAATGAGACTGTGTTACAGGATTTAAAGAATGGTAATTTTAGATTAGAAGTGAGCAGAACAATTGGAGAATAGAACTGCAATCTAAAAGGTCATTGAGGGGTACCTTCAGTGAAACATTTGAAAGGAGATTAGATAATGCACTGGGGAACGATAGTTTAACCTGCACTAGGTGCTGGGGCTTTCACTTATTGAACTGTGTGGGCCTCTCAGCTCCCATGATTAGAGGAGAGAGACTGAGGTGTATCCCCACTGTTTACATTTGCTAGGCTGGTAGGAATTCTGGCTAGCAATAATCTAATTTAAAAAAAAACAACAAAAACTGTGTATCACATTCTTTCAGACTTGTAATGAATTTGAATCAAGAAGAGAGGGAATTTCAAAGTTCTGGAAAATATTCATATCTACTTTTTTTTGGGGGGGGGCATTTGGCAAATGAGATTGTCTTGGATATGCAGTATTGTATAGGAGTATGCTGGAAGCATACTAGCTACATCTGCATTTTTATTTTCACCAGCTGGCTTCAGAACTTGACATATTTAGTACTTTTTCCTGATGTTCCCATTGCAAATGATAGTTTTTTTTTTTTCTGACACTGTTGCTGAGTATAATATATCTGTGCAACTGTCAAACACAGTGTGAGGCCATTGGAGCCCTGTACATCTGTGTATTTGGAGTTGTTTGTGGCAGCCAGGTGACAGTGTTAACATGAAACAATTCCCCTGTGATAGTAAATCTCAGTGACTGTTTTTTATGGCTGTTATCTCCAAACTTGCAGTGGTAAAATTGTAATTTTAATGAAATGAGATGATATAATTCACTCAGAAAATTTGCTAACTTTTCAGATTCCTAGCTTTGTTCCATTAGGACTTGGTGCAATTTTTTGGTATTAAAAAAACCTAACTCATTCTTTTGATTAGAAAGAACTTTAAAAATATAGGAGGAGGAAAAAAAGTACACTCCTTTTTTGGTTGGTTTTTAGAATTACATATAACAAAATTCTATAACAAATCTGTGGCTTTTTTTAAAAAAAACAAACAAACAAATGCCAAGAGAACATATTTCCTTGCAGGTCAAGTGCAATCCAGGTTGATCTCTAGCCAGGTTCTTAACATAATCCGGCTGGATGTTCAGTCTGTCAGTCTTTGGCAATCTTATATCGCCAAAACTTTTGGTGACCATGTGATCGCTGGCTGAGTAGCGGCATTCTTGGTAAACATGCTTCACAATTCACTGGTCTTCCATCCTAACATATCCGTACTAAGAAAGCTGCTGAAACCAAATTAATGTCATGGGGTACTGCATCCAGATAAACTGAAGATTTGAGCATTATTTATATCTAATACTGATGTCAGATTTATTAACTGATTTAAAGTCCTTCCATTTAATCAGCATGACCGTTCATTCATATGAATTAAAACAATACTGTGTGTTGACTCTTATTTAGGTTCTTATACTGTGGTGGTCATGGTATTTGATAAGTTACCCCTGAAATAATATGAACTATACATTTCAAAGTATGTCCCTGGATGTCATGGAACTTCAAACTTTTGTAATAGTCTGTGTCCCAGTTAAGTCATCAGTGAGCAGCATTAATGTATGGATATGATATGAAATCATTGATTCCACTCTACCTGGCCCTGGAGTACTGTGTCCAGTTTTGGGTGCCATGCTTTAAGAAAGATGTGGGCAAATTGGAGAGAGTACAGAGGAGAGCAACAAAAATGATAAAAGGTTTAGAAAACCTGACATATTGAGGAAAGGTTTAAAAAAAGCTGGCTGTGTTTAGTCCTGGAGCTTGTCTGCACTTAAAATGCTGCAGCGTTGCAGCTGTACCACTGTAGTGCTTCAGTGAAGACATTATCTATGCTGATGGGAGGGCTTCTCCCATCAGCATAGGTAATCCACTTCTCTGAGGGGTGGTAGCTCGTTGAAAGGGAAAATTCTTCCATCGACCTAGCACTATCTACTCTGGGGTTAGATCGGTTTAACTGTGTTGCTCAGGGGTGTGGATTTTTCATACCCCAGAATGACATAGTTATACCGACTTGATATCCTAGTGTAGACCAGGCTTTGAGAAAAGAAGACTGAGGGGTGATCTCATATGACTTCATGCTAAGGGCTGTCAGAAAGAGGACAGGGCTCAGTTGTTCTCCATGTCCACTGAAGGTAGGACAAGAAGTAATTGGCTTAATCTGCAGCAAGAGAGATGTAGGTTAGATTTTAGGGAAAACTTTTTAGTATTGGAATAGGTTATCAAGGTAGATTGTGGACTCCCCATCACTGAAAGTTTTTAAGAACTGTTAGACATATACCTGCCAGGGATGCTATTAACTACACTTGTTTCTGCCTCAGCACAGGGATGGACGAGATGATCTCTTGAGGTTCCTTTCAGCCCTACATTTCTGTGATAAAATCTAGCTTGTTACATGGTGAATTATAATTTGTCTTAATTCTCTCACTAACATGCTGTGGTTTTCTCTTAACTTGGACATCTGTTCCGCAAGCCAAGGGTGTTGTGGGTGGGCTGCATTGTTTCCTGTTAAAGACTAGTTTAATAATAGATCACTCCTTTTCTGCTCTCTAATGAATGATACTCAGATCTAGCCATTCATTTGACTTGTGTTTTGGTGACAACTCTTTTGTACAAAAGATTGCATATAATTTATTCTTTTTATAACAATTTAAGGAATAGAGTCTGTATTTTAAGGTTTTCAGAAGTATTACTGGAGTCATGTCTCTTGCTTTCTCTCTCTCAGATTTCCATTTTGGATTCAAAAAGAAGTATGAATATTGGGATATTTCTCAAACAATTCAAAAAGTAAGATTTCCTTTTTCATACAATTAATTAACTTGAGCTTGAAGTGAAATGGTTACACAATAAGTATTATTGGAAATAAAGAAGACATATGATAGAATTGGAAAGGCAATGTTTCTTTAATTTAGTTTAGGTTCTGCACAAAATTGTCAAATAACTTCAGTTCATAGTTTAAACAAAAACATGTTTATTTGAGTGCCAATTTTACTTAAATCTTGTGTACTAATGAGCTCAGTTTGATTGTTGCCTTGCCAGTTGAGCTGAAGTTTCATATGCAGTAATTGAAAGCTATACATTCTCATGTAATTCAACGTGAGATGCTCTTCATTTGGTTTTTCTCTCTTTACGAAGAAAGAATGGAATGGGGTGAGAGAGGATGTGGGGGGGATTCCCAGACCTGGGCCATTCTTTTTATGTGACAGATCTGAGGAATTGTCCCATATTGAGGTGGTGCTAGAGGAATCAAACTGATAACTTAAATGGTAATAAGTCACCAGGACCAGATGGTATTCACCTAGCAGTTCTGAAGGAACTCAGATATGAAATTGCAGAACTATTAACTGTGATCTGTAATCTATCACTTAAATCCACCTCTGGTACCAGATGACTGGTACGTAGCTAATGGAACACCAATTTTTAAAAATGGCTCTAGAGGCGATCCTGGCAATTACAGGCCAGTAAACCTAACTTCAGTACCAGGCAAACTGGTTGAAACTATAGTAAAGAACAGAATTATTAGATGAACATAATATGGTAGGAAAGAATCAACATAGCTTTTGTTGAGGGAAATCATGCCTCACCAAACAAGTGGACAAAGGTAATCCATTGGATACAGTGAACTTAGACTTTCAGAAAGCTGTTGAAAAGGTCCCTCACCAAAGGCTCTACAGAAAACTGAGCATTCATGGGATAAGAGGATGAGTCCTCTCAGGGATTGGTAATGGTTAAAAGACAGGAAACAAAGCATAGGAATAAATGATCAGTTTTCAGATGAATAGTGATGTCCCCCAAGGATCTGTACTGGGACTAATGCTGTCAAACATATTTATAAGTGATTTGGAAAAAGGGATAAACAGTGAGGTGGCAAAGTTTGCAGATTGATACAAAATTACTCAAGATAGTTAACACGAAAGCTGACTGCAGAAAGTTACAAAGGGATCTCACAAAGCTGGGTAACTGGGCAACAAAATGAAATACAGTGTTGATAAAGGCAAAGTAATGCACATTGAAAAACATCTCAACCATACATACAAAATGATGGGGTCCAAATTAGCTGTTATCACTTGAGAAAGAGATCTTGGAGTCATCATGAATAGTCTCTGAAAACAACTGCTCAATGTGCAGTGGCAATCAAAAAAGCTAACAATGTTTGGACCCACGAGGAAATGGATAGATAAATAAGACAGTAAATATAATAATGACACACTATAAAGCCATGGTACACCTACACCTTGAATCCTGCATGCAGTTCTGGTCGCACCATATTAAAAAGATATATTAGAATTGGAAAAGGTGTAGAGAAGAGCAACAAAAATGATTAGGGATATGGAACAGTTTCCATATGAGGAGAGATTAAAATGACTGGGACTGCTCAGTTTAGAAAAGATATGAGTGGGGGTGGGGAATGTGATAGAGGTCTATAAAAATCATGAATGGTGTGGAGAAAGTGAATAAGGAAGCATTATTTCCCCCTTCCCATAACACAAGAACGAGGGGTCACCCTATGAAATCCATAGGCACCAGGTTTAAAATAAAATGAAGTACCTCTTCACACAATGCACAGTCATCCCGTGGAACTCGTTGCCAGTGGATATTGTGAAGGCCAAAAGCATAACTGGGTTCAAAAAAGAATTAGATAAGTTCATGGAGGGTAGGTCCTTCAATGGCTATTAGACAAGAGGCCAGGGATGCAGCCATGCTCTAGGTGTCTGTAAGCCTCTAACTGTCAGATGCTGGGAATGGACAATAGGAATGTATGACTCAGTAATTGCCCTGTTCTGTTCATTCCTTCTGAAGCATCTGGCATTGGCCACTGTCAGAAGACAGGATACTGGGCTAGATGGGCCATTGGTCCGACCCAGTATGGCTGTTCTTATGAGATGAAGGAACTTTTTAAGAGTAAGCTGGTGGTGTTGAACCTTTTATGCACTGATTAGAAAATTGCTCTTCAGTAGAGGCATTGCTGAATGTTGTTTTTGAATAACACTGTTGTAAATACTGATGCATGACTAATTACAATTATTGTGCATAGCAGAGGTATGTTTTTTTCTCCAGTGTATAACTGCTGTTACTCAAGCATTTGAAATGTAATTGATTAATTGTGTATTCAAGGCCTGCTCAATCCATAATTGAAGATATTAATCAAGGAAAAGGTGATCTCGGTGGGTGTGAGATGCTGCGTGAATTCCTTAAATTATTGCCAGAAGCAGAGGAGGTAAGTAAGCGGTTTTATTTAGTTGCTGCTTTTGTGGTAGAGCTGCTGTTGCCTGGGATTCTACAGAACAGCTCTTATTTTTTCTCTAAAAGGGGCATCAAAACTCTGGAGATCTATGAATGTAAAACCATTAAGTGCAAATATTTGGCCTGTAGGATGACAACATACTTGCTTGAGATACTGAGGACATAGTCTTAGTCATTCCCTGCCTACTAAGTAGTTTAACTGTTTGTTTGTTGGCAGTCCCTAATTAAGGTACTGATAAGGTGGCTTTGTTTCTTAGATGTATTTTATTAAGTTACGACCTGTAAATTACTGCTCAATTCTCTTCCAGCGGGTGCAGAGGTTCTACAGTTGGAACCAAACACAGTTGCCCAGTGCCTTCATTTAGGCTACATCTACAGTACAGCTGGAATCGATGCTCTGAGATCGATCCACCGGCAGTCGATTTAGCAGGTCTAGTGAAGACCTGCCAAATTGACAGCAGATCGCTCTCCAGTTGATGCCTGTACTCTATCCACAACGAGAAGAGTAAGGTAAGTCGATGGGAGAGTTTCTCCCGTCGACTCCCCCGGGATGGAGACCCCGTGGTAACTTGTTTCTGTGCTGTCTTAGTGATCCACAATCCTAAATGTGCCAATTTGTTTGATAAACTTAAGTCGACTGACACACAAGCTCTCTAAAAACAATTTTTAAAAACCAGGAAATTGACAGTTAACATTCAGGCCAACCTTAACTCATATGCCATACCACTTCAATATCCTAATATTCAAATGCTCTCTGACAACAACTTGCTCAGCAACAAACTTGCTTTCAGTTCAGACGTATAACCAACAACACCACACATCTCTACTTAATTGTACTCAAGCACACATCCTTAACCCGGGCTACTTACTTTGTCATGGGGACAAATAACATGTATAGTGGTAAGGTCTATAACTTTGATTGGGAATGTGTAATCTAAAGGTTAAGTTAGAGGGGTTTGTATATAAAGGGACACCGTCAACTTGAAATATAGTTAGTCAGTTTTAGAGGTGGAGTTCAAAGTAGTTTTGGGTACTGAAATTGTTCCTGAAACCATTCCCTTCTCCCTTCCAATTTTATGTGGCTTTACAATACACGTATCAGTCTTTAAAAATAAGTTTTTTCTACTGAGTGTGGAAAAACCCACATAAAGTGGAAAATGGTGGAGTAACTATATATAACGGGAAATTGAATCATAACCTCACTTCATCTGTAGTCAATGCACAAAATAAATTGACAAAAGTATTTTTCCCTTCTAATCTTTCAGCTGTAGGTCTTGGATGTTACTTGTGGCAAGAGTTGATAAACTTTCAGATAGGCGTGACTCTGGAAGTTAATTGTATGCTCTGATTATAATTTCACGCACTTCAATCCTAAATCAGATGGAACTCCTACCTAGTTTTCTGAGTTCCATGCTGTAGGAGACTTACAGTTGTGAAATCTTGATGTGTCTAGCAATTCTCCAAAACTAGAACATGGCTTCTGATACCATGAAAGTTCAGTTGACCTTATGTGGAACAGCTGAATGTCACACTCAGTCAAGCTGCTGTGGGTAGTGAATGTACATCTTGCATGTCCTGTAGCAAAGGAGCTAGTATGGGGCTGTCAGGAAAGGAAGGCTGTAGCTGATTTCTAGAGAAAGAAGACTGGCATGTAGTTAGGCAGCAGTAGAAAACTGATTAAATTCTGAGACCTAAAGGCCACAAGGGACCATTGTGATAATCTAGTCTGACCTTCTACATAACACTGGCCATAGAACTTCCCTGTATGAACTCCTACTTAAAGTCCAGTAGCTGTGGTTTAACTAGAGCATGTCTTTCAGAAAACCAATCTCAATTTAAAAATACTTCATGTAATAAAGAATCTACCACGTCCTTGGATAAGTTGTTCCAATGGTTAAAAATTTGCACCTTATTTTTAGGCTGAGTTTGTCTATCATCAATTTCCAGCCATTAGTTCTTGTTCTACATTTTGTCTGCTAGATTCAAGAGCCCTCTATTATCAAATTTCTGTTCCTGTGTAGGTACTTACAGATTATGATCAAGTCACCCCTTACCCTTTTCTTTGTTAAAATGAATAGATTGAGCAACTTGAGATTTTCACTGTAAGGCATGATTTCCAATCCTTGAATCGTTCTCATGGCTCTTCTCTGAACCCTCCCCAATATCCTTCTTGAAGTGTAGCTACCAGAACTGGACACAGGGGCACATACAGAGGTGAGGTAATCTTCCTACTTGATAGTCCTCTGTTTTTACTTTCAAGGACTGCACTAGCCCTTTGGCCTCAGCATTGTGCTGCTGATTAGTCACCATGACTTCCAGGTCCTTTTCAGATTCACCATTTAAATTTTCTCCCAGATGATTTGGGTGATATTTGTTTTCAGCTTTGTGAAACTGATCTTTGTAAAGCACCAAGCTCTTTCACAGTTGCAGTGCTAGCTGCATCCTCTTTGGTGGTCTCGGGGTGTGCCACTTCTTCAGGTGTCTGACCTTGTGGATTTACCCATCCTGGGTGGTTTCTCCTACTTTTGGGACTGGTCTGTGCTTAAAATTTTCATAGACACAGCTACAGCACTCAGGGGTATGAAAAATTCACCCCTCTGCACGATGCAGCTATTTCAACTTAACCTCCAGTGTAGTAGTAGCTAGGCTGATGGAAGAATGCTTCTGCCAACCTAGCTCAGGAAGGTGGTGTTCCTACACCGATGGGAAAAACCCCTTGCATTAGCATCAGCTGTGTGTGCACTACTGGGTTACGTAGGCATGGCTATGGCACTGTAGCTATGCAGGTTTAGTCCCCGTAATGTAGACGTGGCCTTAAACAGGGTACCCATGGCCCAGTCTATCAGACATGCGTACCCAGCAGGTCTGACTGGGTTTGGCACCTGTATTCTTCCTTTCAGGAGTCTGTGACTAGTGGTGTTTATAGTGACAAACAGTTGTTGCAATAGGAAAAAAGTATTTAGAGAGAGAGATTTTAAAACAATAATCTACACAGGTTTATCTTACCTAAAATCTGACCATCTCTTCTGAGGGTAACTAAACAGGCCTAACTTTAGGCACCCCAATGGTCACCTGCATCTTAGTTTGTTTTCCCTCTTTCTTGACTCTCTCTCTTTCAACTACTGTAGTCCTTTGGCTCTTCTGTTCCCAAGCCTTTTCTGGTTCTGGCATTGTTTCTAAAATGTCTGCTGAAAAGTGGTTTATCTTGAACTATTGTTCTTCCCCTTCCTGTTTGGTTTTTTTTTTCCCCTTTATAGCCACTATTAAACTACACCCATATAGTCATACAGTAAGCATCCCAGTAACCAGGTAAACACACAGTATTCATATATTATTACATAGCAACTCCAATCTCATCACATATATTACTGGTTTGGACTTGGTTTTGCTTACACACAATAGATGTAATCAAGTCATCATCACTTGCACCTAAGCAAACACAAACTTATTTATTTTTATGTCAATTCCTCTTCATCTGTCAAAATTAGATCTAATGCAGAATTCTCCAATGTAGGATGCCACACTATTTGAGTTAGGAAACTGTTATTTATAATATTTATAAATTCCAAGCACATTTTAGTCTTGACAGCATGAGACCTCTCACATAGGTCACTCAGATATAAGTTCCCCACGATAATGTAGCTTTTTGTCCTACCCCTACATGTAGATGCTTAAGGAGCTTGTTGTTCTGTTCTTTAGTGTGACTTGGTGGTCTGTAGCAGGCACAAGTATCATATCTTGTGCCTTATCTGTTAGAAGGTTGATCCATAAGCATTCAAGGTCATTTGCTTCCAAGTGGGCAGTGATCTATTTTTGACAGAGTGTCAGAGTACCATCTCCACTCCCGCTTTTCCCTTTCAATCCTATTTAAAGCAGTTATGATTTTAACATTGCAGTCATGTGGCTCTTCTCAGCAGATTTCAATAATACCCACTAAGTTAAATTTATGCCTATAAATGAGCAATTGCAATTCCTCTTATTACCCAGACTCCTATACTTGGTACATAGGCAATTAAAGAATTTCTTCTCTTCACATCCCTTGGTGCCTAGATTTATTTTGTACCAAATGAATGCTCATTTATTCCTTTTTTTTATCTGTTTCTCTTGTTAAATATAAATACCCTCCAGCCGGTCCCCTAAAGATTGATTCCCCCTCTACTGAGATGGAGGTCATCCAGATTTGCACAGCTCCCTCTTCTAAGAAGGTTGACTTATGTTCCACAAAATCAAAACCCTCTTCCTTTCAACCACTTATCTAGTCAGTGACACAGTTCCAGAATCTTCTGCTTTCTCTCTTCCTTTGCTTGTGGGACAGGAAAGATCACATTCCTCTCCTTCAGTACCCTTCTGTCTTCTCTGAAGTGGCCTGTAATCTCTGAGGTATCATCTGAAACGGTGTCACTAATACCAACATACACCATGCCAGTGGATCTTTGCACACTGACTTCAGAAACCTACCTAATCTTGCAGTCACAGCTTGGTTCCAAGAAGACAACACACCATCCTGTTTTCAGCCTGTCCCTTGCAGAACAGCTTAGAGTTCCTGATGTGGACCCAGGGTGCTTGTAAACCTCTTTGTGGGCACTCTTGATTTGTCTTGTGTATTGGGTTGCGGAGCCATCCTCAGGTGGGTCCTGAACAGTCTTTTTTTGCCACCCAGTCACCTGGGACTTCAGAGATTTTTCTGCAGTTTCCATGATACAATGATACAAACCTTGCACTGAAAATGCATTCGTTGTCACCTCTGTGAAGGGGGTAAGCTTTGAATTCTCGTGCTCTTTTCAGTTTGACCCTCAACCTTTATTCACACTACTGCTGGTAAATTGTAAACACTTGATTTATGCTGTAATCTTATCAGTGTCCTAGAAAGTGTTGATAAATAGCCCTATTACCTCAGTGTTTCCCTACACACCAGCCTGACTTATGCTGCAAGTTTTATATCTTAACAATTTGTCCCTCCCCCCCCAACCTCCC